CAACTAAGCTCCAGAGAGTGTCACGAAGAATTCATTAGGGTGTCCCTTTTTGTATGCATTTTCAGGAGAAACCATTGTTCATATAGATTGTGACTATGTTATGATCATTTCAATACTAGCTGTCTAGTCTGCTGTATCCTAGTAGTCTAGTCTACTTAGCTATTATTTTTATGTGTACTCTTAGTGAATTTTTGTATATTTCATATAAAACATCTTAATCATCTTTATACCCCCTTCCCCCATTCATACTCTCCCATACCCCCCCATTGGATTTCATGCATCTCTGCTAAGCAGTAAAGAAAGACACAATCATGAAATTTGATTGGAAATGGATGCAACTAGAAACTACTATACTAAGTGAAATAACACAGACTCAGAAAAGCAAATGATGTATGTTCTCCCTCATTTGTAGATCTTAGCACCAAATTCTTGTATGTGAGTATATATCCTGATGTAACTGCAGAAGCCAGGAAAATGGAAAGGAATCACAGAGGTAAAGGGAAAAAGGAACTCTGAGAGAGAGGAACAGTAGGAGACAGGTGTTACCAAGGGTGAAATGGGGAAAATGAAGGTGTATAAGTAGGGAAGGAGAAGAGAGGGTTAGACAGGGAGAGAGAGAGGGGGGAGAGATAAATGTTTAACAGGTGTGAAAAATCTGAGGGAAATGTATTAGTTCAAAAGTCTACTGAAACGGTACACATACAATATTTCTACATGTGTCCATTGTATAACTGAAGTCTAACAAGAGACAGGGCCAGGAAGGAGAATGCCCCCTTCAAGTTGTTGGACAGGGTAGTCTAAGAGACTCCCAAAATTACATAAGCTATTGCCACAACCCTTGATTGCATCCCAGAACTTGAAGGTAAGAGCTTATTGATGAAGACAGGACATACTTCAGACATAGGACTTGGAGTGATGGAGCTGGACTAGTCTAGAAGTCACCTCCCTGAAGGGTAGGTCTCATGTTTTGGAGAACACCATGCGAGCTGCTAAGGAAGAATATTAGTCAATGGTCAATTTCAGCTTTAAGGCCTAAAAACCACAACAATGACCAGCACAGCAAACTATACTGAAGCAGTTATGGTACTTTTTTTCTTGGGGGTAGTCAGCAGATACCTAATAGGACTTAAAGCCCACTCAATGGGAAGGAACTCATGTGTGGTACTGTGAACATAGCCACATACACATGGCTGAAGAGGTCATAGGTCTTATACAAAACCTTAAGACTGTTACCTCCCTAGACAAATGTAATTTCTTACTACATGCTAAATATAAATTCTTATGTTTACAGACAAGTATGCCAGTCAGCACTCATCAAAGAAGCATCTTTTGCAACAGACAAAGACTATTACCAAGTTCATAACTGGTCACACACACTGAGAATAGATATCTGTGAAATGCCCAATTCTAAGTGGCACATCTACAATGGAATCTCTACATCTAAGGCTCACAGAACATTGTGGAACAAGAGGTCTAGAGAATACTAATGCATCTTTAAACCCTCATCAACAATGTCCCCTCATGCAAAAGAGGACAACGAGCACAAAAGACCACAAATGGCCAAAGCATAGAGAATAAAAATCTGCAGAGGGTGAGTCCTTGGACAGGACTCCTATATTAAACTCTATCCACCCAGAGCCCAGGGACCATTGCAGAACAGAAGGAAGAAAGATTGTAAGAGCTGGGAGAAGAGGCACATGACCGTATGGAAACAGTCTTGGGACCTTGCTCAGATGAACCTGTATCAGTGGTTTAAGACCCATGCAAACTCAAACAGATAAAAGTCCAGCACAGAACTGGGGAAATGTGCAGAAGGTCCCAATCTTAGTGGAAGAACTATTGGCATTTGATTACTGCTGAGTGATGGAAAGCTGATGTTCTTTAGAGGAATGATTCTAATTAGGCTGACTAGACTCCAGTGGATGAACTGGTACTGAGGGACACCTGGTTATACTAACTTGACTCAGTAGATCTTAAGATAAATGATAGAATGCACAATTTTTTTAAACCTAGGAATATTCATATATTTAGGCTGATGGATGAAGGAAATTAAAGGAGAACAGAACCCATACAAATGAACGCCTCTAAAAATTTGCTTTATTACTGTTGGAATAAGTAAACAGTAAATGCATTGAAAGTCACAGAAATGTCATAGTGTGATTTGGCTAAAATTTGGGTTGCTGTGACGTTTTCTCCTGGTTAGTCTCATTAGGGGAAAGATGTTCACTTCAGCTCCCTCTAGCTTCCTCCAATATCATCAACATCCACTGTGGATAGGTCCTCTGTGTGACTTACAGGAATCCTGCACACATATAGCTTGTCTTTGAATATTTGTAGATAATGTTTCTGAAAATATTTATTGCTGGTATTTATCAGGAATCATAAATAAAATCACATAATTTTGTTCTGCTGGGTTCATAAAAATGCATGCGTTTTTCCTCACAGAGTCTTTGAAGGAAATGGAAATCCAAAAATATTAATTATGTACTTATTTGTGTGTGTGTGTGTGTGTGTGAGAGAGAGAGAGAGAGAGAGAGAGAGAGAGAGAGAGAGAGAGCCTATGGAGACCAGGAGAAGGACTTGCATTCCCTGTAGCTAGAGTCACAGGTGGATATGATCTGTCCTACTTGGGTGCTGAGAACTAAACTCAGGTCCTCTGCAAGAGCAGTATGTACTTAATTATTGATCAATCTCTCGAGTGCATAATTATACTCTTCTATCAGTGTCACTGGTGTATGCTACATTCCAAAGTCCAACAGAGGCCATGGAAAATAATGCCAGAGATGTTCTCAAACCTGATGGTATGAACATTGATGGTTCTTGTTCAGATTCATCCCAGCCCAGCCCGCATCTACCACCCTCCTCCTGTTTCTCTGACTGCCAACCAAAAGTAGTAGAGACTAACAAAACCCCACATTTTCCCCTAGGATGGACATCCTGTGGTCGTTAGGTTAGCTGTACCCATGGTTTAGCTCTCACATCTTCCTAAAATTTTTTCTACCATCACCTCTCCCTTCTACACCAATTTTAAATTTGCCATTTTCCTTGAAATTTCCTACAATTATAGCAAACCACTTCATATATGTCTTTCTCAATTCCTTTCACTGTCCATCACTGAATCTAGCTTCCAACGGCTAAAAACAAAGATGATTTTGTCTTTCGATTGGTGGTCCCAGTAAGACCACTGAATTATGAGAATAAGGGTTAGATTTTCCAAAATAGATTTTCATTTGTTGTCCCTTTGCTTCTTCCCCTTTGCCTTCTCCTTTTGCTTTCTCCTTTGCTTTGCTTCCTTCCCCTTTCCTTTCCTCACACTGTGGTGCATGTCGCCATTTGCATGCGAGGGTACAGGCTTTGAACATATTCCCCTCAATCCTCCTCCCTCCCTTTTCTACTCCCCTTTGTTTCCATAAACAGTTTCATTTCTAATCTCATGCCACCTATAAATACATGACTTTACGAATCTCTATACAATCTAGTTCCTACAAAGGCAAGAAAACATACCTGGACAAACTAACAGACCAACCGGTTATACACTTCTGGGTATTTACCCAAAGAACTCTAAATCAATATTTCACAGAGATACTAGAACATTAATATTTTTGCAGCACTTTTTACAGTAGCTATGTTATGGAACCAATTTAGATGTTCAATGGCAGAGGAATGTATAAAGAAAATGTGGTTTATATACATGGTAAATTTTTTTCATTCATAAAGAAGAATGAAATTATGTCATTTGCTTGAAAATGAATTCAACTCACTCATTATGTTCGCATGCTCCAGCCTATCCCTTCCTCCTATCTCATTATTCTCCTCCTCCTCACCACCCTCCAGCAATGCCTCACAGCAATGCCTGCTGCTTTCCACAGCAGGCCCTTAGGCTTGATATCTCCATGTGTTCCTTTGTTCTAAGCATTCTTTCCTCTTCTGTTTTTCTGCCTTATCTCTGTGAGGTCAGCCCAGACCTTCAATCTGAAGCCTCCTAAATACCCTGGATTGATAGATAGTCACCAGTAGTATCACCAATACTCTGGGTCTGTTGGTTCACCTATTAGACCAGAATACATTTCACACCCTATTGGGGTGGCATTATCCAGTCAATGGAATGTAAGCAGAAGTAATATTTGTTGTTTTTCAGTAGAAATTGTTGAACATCAATAAGGCTTCCCTGTACTTCCTACCATGTGTTTCCTTCTCCACGGCAGCATCCAGATGAAGGGACATCTGTCATATTGAGGACAATGTGGGAGAAGGCCTTCTACCAATGTGCTGAGGGACATGTGACATAGCCATGTGATTTAAATGTGAAATGCCCCTCACAGACTCATGTTTGAACACTTGGTCCCCAGCTGATGCTGCTGTTTGAGAAAGGTGCAGAACCTTTAGGAAGTAAAGCCTCACTGGAGGAAGTGGGTCACTGGGGGAAGGACATGAGGCTTTGTAGCCTTGCCGCACTTCCTGTTCATACTCTACATCCTGAGTGTGGATATAATGTGACTCACAGGCTGCTATCCTTTCCCCACCCTGATGGACTCTATCTCTCTGCAAATCTAAGTCAAAATAATCCCCTTTGCCCTTAAATTGCTTTTGTTAGGGAATTTTATCACAACATTAAAAAAAAAACCAAAAAACTAAGCGATATGTTGTGCTACTTGTTACTTTGACCAGTGCTATATTAGCTGCTTATTGCAGCACTACAATTGAGCCTGTGAACACAATGCCATTTGATCCAGAGCCCCCCAATTGTATCATAGCACCTATTCTTTCTTGTAGTTCCACACATTGCCAACTTCATTTTGTTGGTCTGATTTCCATACACTCCACAAGGTCATGGCTTGTGTCCATGTGTCTTCCCTGCCTACCTCAGTGTTTGGTATATTCATCCTCTGGAGAAACCCATTTTGAATGAATAAAACGTGTGTGTCCCATGTTGCACAGTCTTGGTCCTCACACTGCCTCCCTAGAGTGGTGCCCATCCCACCACAGGGCAAACTGAGCATCTACTTACAGTCATGGCAGGTGGCACCTTTGTAACCCGTGTCACTGCAGTTGCAGTAGAAGGCAGTCCAGGACTGGGTACAGTGTCCTCCATGCTCACAGTAGTTAGGCAAACACCTAATAGGAGATAATACAAAAATAAACAAAATTTACCAAATCAGCTGAAATAGAGGTACAAGCAAAAATAACTAGTATCTAACTGCATGAGTAGCTAAGGGAAAAGGGTCTGCTAGAGTCTTACATCCATCAGAGTTCTATGATATGAAAATGACACAGCTGTTTGACGTACGAGGTAGATCCACCTGGAACTACTGGGTAATGAGACTTTCACAGGTGATTTGGGCCTCTGAATTAAAGATTCAGTGCTTGTTGCATATACAGTTATACAGAAGAGGCTGGGCTCCATAAAATATTTCATTATCATGAGACAAAACACAGAAATATTATTCTTTTATATTTGGAAGTAGTTTATATTTTTAAAGGAAATGAAAAATGTAGCAGTAATAGAAATTACTATCTGCGTGCTTCTCTTTGGAGGATTGCCAGAAAACCATTTAAACTACAAAAATAAAACATGAAACTTGAAAAAGTAAGGCCCTCTTGATTAACTTGCAAGGAAATCATATCATTTCTAAACATGACAAAGCAATCTTGGAAACAAGACCTTACTAGTTATGCTCAGAACAGTATGGTTATTCTGAAGACTCTTTTCATTAATCACATTAAAAATTCTCTATTATATAATTTGTTTTTATTTTTATTTTTTGCATTGTGTGTGTGTGTGTGTCTGTGTGTGTGTCTGTGTGTGTGTGTATGCATGTGAATTTATGCCACAGTATATTTGTGGAGATCAGAGAACAACTTTGGGAATTCAGTTCTCTGCTACCATGCAGGTCTTCCTGGAGACTGAACTCGGGTCCTCAGACTTGGTGGTAAGAGCCTTTACCCTCTGAGCAATCTTGCCAGCCCAACAATCAAATAGTTTGGCCAATGATTTTACTTAGATGGCTCTGTATTATGGAGTTTGTTCAAAATACAAAAATTATATATGCCAGTTAATGTGATTCCCAATGATATTATTCAAGCTGATTGATCAAGGTACATGTACAGCATTAGAATCCTATGTAGAAAACTTGCTGTGTACAAAACAAAAAGCTAATTTAAACTATTTAAAGTGATGTGAACAAACATATCTTAACATATTCGTACTAGATCAAGTGAAAATCCAAGATCTGAAGAATGTTCACAATGAACCAAAACACTGTAAATTTCAAAATGTTGAGAAGAAAATTACTAGAAGTTACCTGGACCAATGACAGTCAAGGCAATATTTATTATTTTCTGGAGGAATCATGAAATTTAGGGTTTCATATGCCTGTGTTCAAATGCCAGCTCAGCATTTCTTGCAGGCTGCTCTGTACCCAAATATATGTGTTTTTAAAACCTCTACAGGGGCTGTAACTGTGGTGATGATTCAGTGGTTAAGAATGATTAAACTGAGTGTAAGAGCTGTTCAGAAGTGGGACTGAGGAACTGATTCGGCAGTTAAGAGCACTTGCTACTCTTACAGAGGACCAGCATTATGTTCTCCGCGTTCAAGTCCAGCAACTTGCAACCACTACAACTCCAGTTCTGGGGAATCAGATGCACCTCTACAGGGGCTGTAACTGTGGTGATGATTCAGTGGTTAAGAATGATTAAACTGAGTGTAAGAGCTGTTCAGAAGTGGGACTGAGGAACTGATTCAGCAGTTAAGAGCACTTGCTACTCTTACAGAGGACCAGCATTATGTTCTCCACGTTCAAGTCCAGCAACTTGCAACCACTACAACTCCAGTTCTGGGGAATCAGATGCCCTCTTCTGGCCTCTACAGGCCAATGAACTTACATGTACATATACACACAGACACACATCCACACCTAATTCAAACAAATGAATAAAAACCTTTGCAATGTAGCCACTGTGGTATAATCTGGCAAGTACTCAGTATGTCAACCAAAAAAAATTAAGAGTAAAAAAATCATAAATGCTGGAATTTCTGAATGACATCAACAACAAAATCTTTGCAGTGGATTGGAGACAGCACAGAGAAAAGTGTCTACAAACCGATAAAGGGAAAGTGAGACCAATGAAGTTGGAAAATGAAGGACACAACAAATGGGTTCATCGTAGAGAATCTGGGTCCAGAAAAATCACAGATGATTTACTTTAAATGTCTAAATGTCCTCAATGTGTTGGAAACTCAGTGTCCATGACTGTTTCAAAGCCCAGAAAGTAATATTACTGCATGTGATCACAGGTAGAAAATTTCTGCCCAGAACAACTGTTCTAGTTTGCCTTCAATTGCCCGAATAAAACACTCTGACCAATGCTAACTTGGGGAAGAAAGGGTTTATTTTATCTTATATCTCCTAGGGAGCCCAAGATAGGAATTCAGGGCAGGAACCTGGAGGCAGGTAATGAAGCACAGTTCATGAAGGAACGCTATTTATTGGCTTGCTCTCCTAGCTCACGCTCAACCTGCTTTCTTATACAACACATGTTCACCTGCCCAGGAGTGTCACCACCCGCAGTGAGCTGGGCCCTCCCACATCACTCATCAATCAAGAAAATGCCCCACAGACATGGCCAATGGAGGCAATTCCCCAATTGAGGCTCCCTCAACCCAGGAATGTCAAGTTGACACTACAACAATGTACAAACATACAAACATTGTGCTGATGGAGCTTCAGCTTGAAAAAAAAGCAGTTGATAATTTGATACCAAACTATGGCTCAAAGATGAGGAAAATAGAGGCTGGGGCGAGAACTCAGTTGCTAAAGCACTTGCTTCACAAGTGTGAAAACTTGAGTTCCACCCCCAGCACCTACGTAAAGGCTGAGCATGGTAACTTCTGCTTGTTAAGCCAGTGACGTGAAGGCAGACACGGAAAGATCCCTGGGCTCACTAGCTAGCCAGTCAGCCAGGATGGCCTCATTGGCAAGCCCCTAGTTGTACTGAGAGAATTTATCTCAAAAAAACCAAGATGGATGGCTCCTAAAGAGTGACTCCTGAGCTGGTCTCTACATGCACACACATACACACATCAAAAAATGAAAGAAAATTAAAGATAAGCATCAAACTAGGAAGTTTGCTGTGGAATGTGTTCACTACAAACAAATGAGAAAAGAACAAAAGTGCGCCTTCCCCTGCTCCAGATTCTTCCTCCACACTGATTACTATTTATCCTCTCAGCCCTCCTGGGGAGAAAAGGGAACTCGTCACTATTATCCAGAGGCCTTGCCCTCAACTCTGCTAATAGAAATCTACATGGACTTGATCAACACAGTCCTTTCAACACAAGTTCCAGGTAAGGAGCACTCCCTCTGGGCTCACCCTTCATTCCAGACTTTGTAGCTAGGACTCCTTAAAACACCCTCTGCCCACCCTGCTCTTCTTTTACCTCCTGGTCCTGCCAGGATTCTGATCATCCCATTTTTCATCATAACCACTCAGAATGGCAAGGATCTAAAAGAAAACAATGACAAACGCTGACCAGGATATGGAGAAAGGGGAACTCTTACCCAATGCTGGTAGGAGTGTACCCTCTGCCCACCCTGCTCTTCTTTTACCTCCTGGTCCTGCCAGGCTTCTGATCATCCCATTTTTCATCATAACCCACTCAGAATGGCAAGGATCTAAAAGAAAACAATGACAAATGCTGACCAGGATATGGAGAAAGGGGAACTCTTACCCAATGCTGGTAGGAGTGCAAACTGTTGCAGCCACTATGAAATCAGTGTGAACATTACCTAAAAAGCCATATTATCCATCTGTACCTCTCTTGGGCATCTTCAAAAAACTCTAAATTCTGCTACATAAGTTCATGCTCATCCATGTTCATTGCCACCCATTTCATAAGAGGCAGGAATTGGAAACCACCTAGATGTCCATCAGCTGATGGATGGATAATGAAGGTGTGGCACATATACACAATGGACTATTACTCAGCTCTTAAAAAAGACAAAAGTTTGACATGCCAGGTGAATGGATAGAACTGGAAACAATCCTCCTGAGTGAGGTAACCCAGGCTCAGAAAGACAAACACTGCATGTTCTTGCTCATAGCTGGAAGCTGGCTTTGAAGTCTTAGATGTTCCTGCTTCAGCTGGAAAATCGGAGAGGTCAATAAACTAATAAATATTCGTAAGTGGGGAGGGAGACTTCCTGGTAGGTATGACAGAATGCAATGACATGAAGGGGGAAAGGGGACCATTAGAGTAGGAAGGCTTAAATGGGGCAAGGAATGGGAGGGCAGGCCTGAGGAGGGAAGATGGGAGAGGTAAGTAACACCACCAAAGGCCTTTAGAAAAAGCTACATGGAAACTTACCACTATAGAAGCTTCTTAAACTATATACATATCCATTATAAAAAGAGATAAAAGGAGTTATCCTATAACCGGAGGACATTTCCTTCTTTTAGACATCATAGACTACCTTAAAAAAAAAATCCTCAATGCTAGGAATAAACTCTCTCTCTGCAAGTTGTTGAGCAGGAATCCCATAGACCCTCAAACAATACTGGCCTTTGTTCCTGCTGTTAGTTATCCATCAGAACTTCATGGTAAGACCATATTACTGATGACACTAAACACATGAGCTGTAGAACAAACAAGGAGAAATCGAGCTGGTGCTGACTTCGGAGTCTTATCTCCACTGGCTAGGGTCCATAATGCTGGAAGGTGCTATGAATGCTACTAGAAGGAAAAAAATAATCATAAACCCTACTCGGCTGTAAATCCTTTGAACTACAACAATTAGCCTGGAAGATATGTCCACCAGTGCAAAGTTATGGTAGTAACCAATGACACTTTCACTGGATTTAAGGCCCACTTCCTAGGATAGAGCCCATACCTGACACTGATATCAGGCTTAGGAACTTGAGGCTAGACAGGTCACAGGACACAGGGGGAACCTAATACTAGTTTTCTACTAAATAGTGATTGTATTAAACTGACCCCTAACGATTTATTGTTATAGCCATAGATTAATGCATCTCTCATCTCTCACCAGAGACATTTCCTTATGCAGTTGATGGTGATTAACATAGAAACCCACAGCTGATCAATGTGCAGAGAA